TATGTATGTAAATATTAAAGTAGGCAACCATATAAAAGTGTACCTTTGTAAATCTCTAACAGACTTAGTAGAACATTCTAAATTCAAAATATGTATGCATGTTTGTATTAAACATAACATGTATTTTCAGAAATGTAAGTAAATGGGGTGCTGAAAACACAAAAAACAAAAAAAAATAAAACGAATGAAAATTATGAAAAAACGTAATTGAATAAACAAATTCTTTGTAAAGTAGCACATTTCCTTATAAAAAAAAATTATATCAGAAATTACATAATATCTGTTATATTCGAAGCTGGTGAGTGATTGAAAAATTAAAATGATTTTCCATAAAAATTGCTTGTTGTTTCATTATTACTTGTTGCATATATTTAGGAGAAATTATTAAATTTTTTTTTTATTTCGCAGTAATGTTTTTAAACACATTCAACATGTTTTCACTGGAAAACTATGAGAGATAGAAGAAAATGTTATACGGTTTAATTTTAACCTCTCATTGAAGCCCATCGAAAAAAAAAATAACATAAATTTTCGAGAAATTTCGAGTTTTTTTATAAAAAAATTTCAAAAAAAAAAAAGAACGAAAATTGTTACTTTGAATTGTAGCTTTATCTGGAAAACTATAGCTCAAATCTAATTGATTGTAAGACTGAAAATGAAGAAAAACTAATTACCTATAAACAAAGACCCCAATAGTTACAGTATGTCAAAATTTAAAGCATTTACTAATACGGAAGAGAAAAACTGGAATCTTTTTTTTTCACTCGCTGTAGCCCGAAAACGGATATATCTGAATCCATAAAATTTTTTGTTGGACAATTATCAAATAATCATTCCTATGCGGAAGAACGTCTATAATAACAAATTATTGAATTTAACTGCTTTTTAAAAAATACAGTCTCTTTGAGTCAAAAGGAAATTTCAAGCTAAAATTATTCCTTCAAATAATAATTTTTTTTTTGGGAGGATTCTTTTAGACCTTTTAGGAGATTATTACTTGAGGAAAACGATTTAAAATTTCAAATTTCTATCGTTACATATTCAAGCATAGATGAAGAGACACGGCAGGACAATACAGTAAAATTAATAAGCACATTTCTCTTATCAATTTTATTAAAAATCTGTTAAAAAAAAACATCAATTGGGAATTTATAAATTCTCAGCTTTCATTAAAAATATAAGTAGGTAAATATACACATGTATATCCATGCATATATTCATGTATACATATTGTATGTATATAAAATTGTGGTATTTATTTTAATCATATATAGACAATCGCTTTGAAAAAAAACCCTAAAAATCTAATATATTAATTTTATAGAAAATATAAAATTTGTACATATTTACATAAATATATGTATATATATATATATATGAACATTATTATAACAATATAAGAATTGTTATACTTTTACCTCTCTACTCTCATATAACTTTTCTTTTTCTTTCTTTTATAAAATGAAAACATCCATAAAAAAACAAAAACGAAAATTTAATAAAAAAAAAAATCTGAAAACACGTGCCATGCTGATGATGATGTTACAACAACAATATATATATATATATATTTTATATATATATATATATATATATATATATATATATATATATATATACACAAACGTCTATATATTTATACAGATTTTGCTACAAACATACATTTCTGTATGTACAATGTGGATATTCGATAATATAATAGGTATAAGCATGTATTAACGCAGGTTCGTTAGGAATGCACATAGGTACTTGTATTAAAATTGTAAATGGATAAAAATAAAAAAAAAAAAAACAAGAATTTAAAATTTTTTATATTGAACAAATTCACAAATATATTATATATACACAAACGTATATACACATGTATATGAATTTATGAATGCATGAACTCGTGGTTTTGAAGTAGGTACAGTTTTTTCATTAAATATAAATTATACATACTATGTATGTATATAGAAAGTTACACACATAGATACTTACATAAGTAGGAATGTTACACATATGTATTTTGAAGTCTAAATGTAGAATTGAACTAGAATTCTTTTGTTTTTGTTTTTAATAAAAATCGAAGTTTATCTTAATTACTTACATATTTATTTTTAAATTATCTTGTATTCTAGACTAAGATATAGGTTCCAACTACTTATATTAGTTTAATGACATGCGATTGTATCTGTTATTATAATTCAATATATACCTAATACGCCAAAGAAGAAATAATGAAATCATACAATCTTAAAAATGCAATTTTAAATTGGTCATCAAAAATATTGAAATTGTAAAAACTGTTTATTCACTTTTATTTATTGTAAAATTTTCAGATCTAGGATGAATATTTTTATGGTTAACACAAATATTTGCAATAAGCGCATTAGAAAATTTAAATAAACGCATTATTGCAAAATAATAACTTGAAAACACAATACTATAAAAACATTACATATTGAATAGGCAATAAGATTTCTAACTATTCTATAAAATCAAAACATTTCATATGATTTAAATGACCTACTCATACAATTTTGCTATGCTACAAAAAATTAACCATGTTTGTTAACAAATTAGGTAAATGAACACAAATGTAGTGCAGTTTCCCTAAATATCGCGATATTTATACTCGTATATAGTACAAAATTTTTTTAGTACAATAGTTTAACAAAATTCTATATAAGCACTCATATTTCGTCTGTTAAACGAGCGTAGCACTTGAGGTAATGGGATATTATACAAAGACACTAAAGCTTTCTGTATGGAATTTGAAATTTTAAAGTCGGTTTTATTCAAAAAATTAGAAACTGTATCTAACAGAATGTAAGTCAAGAATTAAGTTATGTATTTGTAAACTTATTAAAGGAATCGACAAGAAATTTTAAGATATTTGAGTATTGCACAAATACTTCAAAACGATTTTATTTTATTATTCTCGCTTACATCTTATTAAATAAATTATCAATATTGCTCTATCATCGTCGAAATATACTGGTTAAAACCAAATCATTAAAACATCATTTATTCATTCTGCATCTACAGTTTACAATATCTATGCTTATAAAAAAGAAATCCAGTTCAATCAAGATTGAAAAATGAAATGTTCAAATACTTATTTGTTAGTTATTTTACAAAATTTCATAGAAAAACAATTTTGTAAAAAAAAAAACAATAGCGGTAATATAAATTAAATATTTATTTATGTGAATATTAACCTACTGGTTATAGATACATGTATAACAAGTACGAAATATAACGATGAATAATGGTTATAATTACAAAAAACATTTTTAAATAGAAAGTTAATTAATTTTGTAGTTTGAAATTACATACACATTTGTACAATAGCATTTAAATTCGAATAGAAGCACAAATGTGCGAATCAACAATTAATTTACAAACTCAATTGTGTCCATATTACAAATTAATTATTTAAATCTCTAAAACATGGACTGGCCGATATTTTGTTGGATATTTTGAAGTTTATTGACTGGTCAATCAGTTTATTCGAGTTTATGTGCAATTTTTCTAATAAAATAAAATAATAGTTTTTTATCATCCAATTTCAGCCAGGTTAAATAATTTTACCTAACATTACATAATAATTTAACCAAGCCATTGAAAATAATACCGGCTGAAATGAAGAACTTTTATTATTCCAATACTAACCGGTATTTTTACATTTACAAATTTTTTATAGGGATATTTAATCAAAAAAGCAGGTTAAGAGCTAAGTGTAGATACCAAAATTTTAAAGTTATTTTAGAATTTATCGACTTTTTTTTTAATTAAAAAGTATCATGTTGGTCAGAAAGTATCATCAAAAAGAATTTGTACTATTTTAATTTCTTTTTGTTGTATTAAGAATCTTACAGCCACTACTCCAAAATAATTTTAAATTTCTTCAATATAAATCATATAAAATCACCTAAAATATAAATATAATAAAAAAAATTAAGTAAATATTAAAAAAATCACATATGAATGAAATTAATATTCATAAAATATAATTTATATTATCACAAAGTAGATATTTATCGTAGGATAATGATAATAAATTTCAAATGGAATTTCATCATCATGACAACATTTTAATAATCATAATCATATTGTATCAAGAACAAAAGATCTTGTATTTTGTAAGGTTAAAATTTATACTGCTTCTATATTCTGTACACATTTTCTTAAGTAACACTAGTATTTAAGTAGTTAGATGTCTACTTAATTGTAAAGTGATATGATTTAATTAAAAAAAAATAGGCTAGGTTTAACTATGTATGAACCCTCATCAAAATTTAAGCAATAAAAATATCAAGGTATTTACTATAATTGTAAGTATATGGGGATGATTCTAGAATAATATTTAATTATGTATATTAAAATTATCTATATACATAAATATATTTTAGGTATACATATATGTACATATATAAAAATTTTATACTTCATAGAATTTGTAAAAAAAAATACTTGAAAATTTTTTGAACAATGTAAAATTCTTCATCTTCATAAGTTTTTTGTAATAAAAAAATTATTCACTGTTTACAAAACACTAAACACACTTAAAAAACGTCATCTTTTTAGGAAAAAAAAAAGAGCAACAAAATAATAAAAAAAAAAGGAACAAAAAAAAAGTCCACATTATTTTTTTTTTTTCTTTTTTGAAATTTTTATGACAATTGGCAAGCATTTTTTTTTTATTTCATATTTACTTAAAAAAAAACTGACCAGAGAAATCTAAAATTAATTATAATTTAAATTTATTCTTTTTTTTTTCAATTATTTTAACAATTAACCACTAGAGAATGCAAACAATAAAAAAAAAATGATTTTTCACTATTTTTCACATGTCCTCGTTTTCCATTTTTACATTTTTCTTCTTTTTATATAACTTTAAATTCTTATTATAATTTGGACATTTTTCTAATATAAAACACAATTTTTTTAATATTTTAATTATTTTCCTTAAATTTTATAATAAAAAACAAGTAAAAAATTATAATTTCACTTACTTAAATTGAATTTTTGTAAAATGAAAAAATTTTTCAGCGAAAATTTTTTCTCCAGATTTTTACTCAATGACGAATACTTTGCAAATGTTGTTTTGCGCAACGTAAACGCACATTTATATGAAAAGAAAAAATGTGTTTTTTTTCTCTTCTTTTTTTTCTTTTTTTTGTTTTTTATGCCTTTTTTTATTTCTTTTGCAAATGCTTGTTCGTTTTTTTTTTGTTTTTTATTACTCCGCTAAAAAAAACTGTCAAAAATGTCAACACTTTTTTTTTTTTTTATTTAAAACTTTATATGTACATAAATAAAAAATAATTTATTAAAATGATAGTAAAAAATTCTAGTTATTAAAATAGAAAAAAATTAAATTAAAAATAAATAAATTTTTATTTTATTTGCATTTATTTTGAAATCAACATGTTTTTTTTTGACTATAATGCTAAAAGAAAATTTACTGTTTGTTTACAGTAGCCAAAAAACCATATTAATTTGACCCGGGAATCATTTATTTGAGGTTATGTTTAGAAATTTTTTTTATTTGAATGTGTGGTGGTTAAAAGAAAAGAAAAAAAAAAGGTGTGTTGGTTTATTTACGGAATATGCGCCGATGTTTCATGAAGAGGAATATGACGTTTACTACAGCGCCAGTGGTGTTTAAAAATTAAATACCAATAAACAAAGTATTAAAAAAATGCTGTGAATTTTCAAGATCAAATAAGTAAATTTGGTGGTTAATATCTTTATATGTAGTTTATTTTCTTTTTGGGGGCCAAATTTTCAGAACGATCATTCTACTTCTTGTCCAATAAATAAATTTCAACTATTATAAATTGATATTTTGCGTATTTTTAATTGATAATTTCGATAATATGTACATACATTTAAACTTATTTCATATTCCCGGATTTTAAAATTGTATTTATGATAAAAAAAAAAATGGGGCAATAAATTGTTTAAAATAAAGTAATTTATGAGTCTTTTTATTAATAAAATGCTCCAATGATAAATTGTTCCGAGTTTATAATAGACGTACTGGTTCAATAGAATGGTAGGAGATCTCTTCGTATTTCTCTAACGGAAATTAAGAATTTTTCGTAAAAAACGTAACAAGTCAACTACTTGTTCGTTTAATATTAAAAATGCTAAATTTTTTTAGCAAGAAAAAAATCTTTGGATCTGTAGTTCTCTAGAATCTAACAGAATCTAAAAAAAATAAGAAAAAAATCATTTTATTTCCATTTTATTTAATTTGTAGATCTTTTCAGTTTTATAAAAATAAATATTAACACAATTTTTAAAAAAACCTACGAAGTCAGATAAATCTACGAAGAATATAATTGCTGTTATTTGTTATATTATATGTGGAACATATTAAAACCGAAAATAGCATTTCGTTTTTAATACGTTCCACATGAATTTCATAAAGTTTTTGCTAATTTGTTCAGGGAAAAAAGGATTTAACTCTATTTGACAACAAGAATTGGAAAAAATTCTGATATAATGAATCATTGGAAACTCCTAAAATGTTTAATATATGTATTAAGTCTCTTCACTAGCCGAAATATATTTTAATTTAAATAATTTATTAAAAGTAACTTTTAAATCAAGTTATTCTAAAACTAGCCTCGAGTTATATTATTTATCAAAATTTGACCGAGTTATTTTGTAAATATTTTCTCGTGAAGGCACTTGCTGTAATAATCACAAGAGTTCATATAAGATTACGGAATCTTGCTTACAATATATTATATATTTTAGCAAACATGTAGAAATACATAATTTAAAAACTTTACATTGAACATTGTGCAGCGAAATTCTAAGTTATATTACGTAAACATTTGAGAATATCTGTGTCCCACTTGCATCTAAACTTTTTAAGAATGGCAGCACTGTATTTGTTTCGACTTATGTGTACCAATTTTTCGTCAGTTTTGATAGGCTGTCATTTTTATTAAATTTTTGTTTATGTTTCTCTTTTATATGTTTTAAATTAAAAAAATTAAATAAAAATATTTATAATATTATAAAAATATGAGTGATCTTATGTTATATGGAACAACGCTTTCTGCAGAATCTATAAAAGTTATCGCTGAGAGTATAGGTAAGTTCAAAAAAAAACATATATTTTTGGAAGAATCAATTAACCGCTCAAAAATTGCAATTTTTAGGTGTTGGTTCATTACCTGATGATGCCGCAAAAGAATTAGCTGAAGATGTATCATATAAATTAAAACAAATAGTTCAAGATGCAGCCAAATTTATGCATCATGCGAAAAGACAAAAATTGTCAATAAGTGATATAGATCATTCGTTAAGAGTTCGTAATATTGAACCACAGTATGGATTCACATGTACTGATTTTATTCCTTTTCGATTTGCTTCTGGTGGTGGTCGTGAGTTACACTTCACAGAGGAAAAAGAAATAGATTTAGCTGAAATAATTCATGGAGCTCCGCCAAAAGTACCCTTAGATATATCATTAAGAGCACATTGGTTATGTGTTGATGGTATACAACCAACTGTACCGGAAAATCCACCACCGTTATCAAGAGAACTTCAAGCACTCGAGTCAGTGAATCCTGTTGTAAAATTAGAACAAGGTTTGACTAAAGATGCTGCTAGTAAACCGGCTATAGGAAAATTACACAAATTAAAAAATGTTGAGACTGTTCACGTTAAACAACTTGCCACACACGAATTATCTGTGGAACAACAACTTTATTACAAAGAAATAACTGAAGCTTGTGTTGGAGCAGACGAACCTAGACGTGGCGAAGCTTTACAATCGTTAGCTTCAGATCCTGGTTTACACGAAATGTTACCTCGTATGTGTACATTTATAGCGGAAGGTGTAAAAGTTAATGTTGTTCAAAATAATTTAGCTCTCCTTATATATTTGATGCGAATGGTTAAAGCACTTTTAGACAATCCATCTTTGTACTTAGAAAAATATGTGAGTAAAAATTGTTAATTTAATAATTTAAATGCGATAATTTAAATTTCTTATTTTATATATAGTTACATGAACTTATACCATCAGTTTCAACTTGTATAGTATCAAAACAATTATGTATGAGACCTGAATTAGATAATCATTGGGCACTGAGAGATTTTGCAGCTCGATTGATGGCCCAAATTTGCAAAAATTTCAATACTTCAACGAATAATTTGCAAACTCGTGTTACAAGGTACGTATATAATGCAATTTTATCTGAAAAATTAAAGAACTTAAATGTATTAAATGTATAGGATAAAATAATGTATAATTTTCATTTTATCATAGAATATTTAGTACTGCGTTGCAAAATGATAAAACGCATCTTTCATCACTATATGGAGCAATAGCAGGTCTTTCAGAATTAGGTGGTGAAGTTATTAAAGTATTTATAATACCTAGACTGAAATTTATATCTGAGAGAATAGAATCACATCTTCAAGGTCCCACTTCTAGTAATACAGATAAAATTGCAGCAGGTCATATCAGAGCTATGTTACAAAAGTGTTGTGCACCCGTATTAAAAACTATGCGTAATCAGCCAGATTTAGTAGACGATTACAAGTATGAAAAATAAATACATATTTATCATTTATTCTTTATGATATTTGATTTGTTTTACAAATTACATCTCAAGTTTTCATAAGAATTTTAATACATAAATAATGTATAAATGTTTTAGGCGAGACTATGGTTACATTGGACCAACTTTGCATCAAGCTGTAGCTAAAGCTAGAAATGCACCAACGCCTGCCACAACAACCACTGGCAATAATATTACCACAACAACAACAGTATCAATTGTTAATACAACAATTGCAACTGCAGCAACGACAGCAAGTCGAGCGCAAATATTACAAACAACTCCACGTATCACTAGTTTATAGTACACTTCAGGAAATATATATTTTTTTTATTTATAAAATAATGCAATAAAATTGAAAATACTATTCAATTCATTTTTAAAATAAATGTAAATTAAGAAATTATTAAAGAACGTGCGATTAAGTCAATTTGAAGTGTTACTTCAAATCTTAGCATGCACTTTATATGTAAAAAGCACTGTTCTATTAAGAAAAAATAAAGAAAAATAAAAAAGAAACAATGTATTTTACAGTATTGTTTATTGCATAATTAATTTTTATTTTTTTATCGCGCTTCAGTGCATTTAATTTGCTATAATTTATGAAGCTATATTAAATTTCTTTAGTAGTATGATTAAGATAAATTAAATAATTAAAAGAATTCTGCTTTATGTTTGCTATTCAAAATTATTTGATCATCTTGTAGCATAAACGTAAGAGTATTATAAAGATTTCAATAAGAGTTGCTAAACGTAAAATCTGTTAAGAATTAATGGTAAAAGCAGAATTTCTGAACTTAATTTAAATTCAACATAAAATAATGTTGAATATTACTTCATTATTTTATTATTTCAATAAATCTTGCCACTCAATATTATTTGGAAAGATATGAATGCATCTTTACCATATTTTTACCAATAATTTTCAATTAAAAGTAGAGTTGTCATTACAATTTGAGGAAAGATAAAAATATGGGAATTTAAAAAATTGAAGAATGAGGTAAAAAGAATTGAAAATGGATAAATTCAATTGGAAGTGAAAATACGCAGCAGATCGAAGATTACTTCAAAAATATTTTAGATATTTTTTAGAAATATTTTAGATAAGGGTTTTTTCAATTTATGCACATCGGACATGGTATTCAAAATATTTAAAATAAAAATTTGAAGCCATAAATTCAATTCAAAATTTGCACTACGAAAATTTTATGTAACGCTAATTAAAATGAAGAAATGGTTATTTTTTTAAAATAACTTATAATTTATATGAAATAAAAGTAGTTTTGTTAATATTCAATAATTTTTTCGATTTTATTTTTCGTAAATTATAGTGATAATCTTTTATTAATTTGTCTTATAGCTTGTTTTTTACACCGATTGGCAGTGATAAATTAAAAAAATGCTTAACACTCATTTTTTTTCAAAGTCTTGTTTTAATTACAAAATTTTTTTGTTAGAATTTAATTTTTTTTTCTTACAAAACTATTAATTTTTAGAAATTTCTTTTATAATTAATAAATTTTCTTGATATTTTTTTAAACTTTTTCCTAATTAATAAATTTGTGTAATTTTTATTTTTATTTTTTGTGTTATGTGATTAGTTTGCAGTTAATGGTGAGTGTCCCTTTTAAAGGGTTTTTCTTAATTTATGTATTTGTGTTGAGATTGATGTGTTTTGTAAAAATGTGTGAATTTTATTAAAATGCTAAAGAGTGAGATTTTTTGTTTATTTTCTGTAAAAGTATAATTTTATATTTATTTCAATTACATTTTTTATCACTACAAATATAATAAGGCAATTATTTTGTTGTTATTTAAAAATTTTTATATTTCATTTTTAATTTTAATTATTTTAATTTAAGTTTTTAGAGTTTATTTAAAGAGATTTTAGAAAAAAAATTAATTACCTCAGAAATTTTACTTGCTATTTTAGTTTCATATCATAAATTGATTTTCAAATTTAATTTATTTTTTGGATATTTTGATTTTACAAGAATTTTTTTATTCAATTTGTACTTCTTTCTTTTAGAGAAAATGTGTATTATATCGTATTATAGAGTTCATTTACCGAGATTTCACAATTATCGAAATTAATTTTAAAATCATTTAGTATAAAACTAATATGATTAATAAAAACAGCTACTGTGAATTATAAAATAAAAAAAATCTGTTCATAAAAATTAAAAAAATCAGTAAAGAGCTAAAAAAATTTTTTACGATCTTTTTTATATTTGTGAAAACATTTTTGTGCTTCATCAATAAATCAATATCTTTGAAGCAAAATTGAAAATGAAAATTGCGATTAAATTTAAATTTTTATTATATATTGTAATGGAAATTTAAAAATTGTTGGAATATCATTAAACTTTTGATCATTTTTGATCAGAATTCGAAACTTTATAAAATTTACTTAGGTATATCTTAATAAAATTTATATATAACTGTTCAAATAAAGCTTACCCATTTTATAATTTTGAATTTTATTAAAATAAGAAATAATTTTCTTCGAAATTTTAGTTTTATTTAGAATTTCTAAAGTAAGCTCATTAATTTAAAAGTTCAATATCCAATTATATAATTGATCAATATCAATTAAGCGAACCAAACAAAAAAAAATAATTAAAAGTAAATTAAAATTCAAAATATAAAATTAAAAAAACTAATACATTTTGTTACTCGTAAGCTTTCAATTTATAAAAAATATCAAAATTTAATAATAAAAAAAAACTAAAATTAATTGTTCAATTTTTTTCGCTAAACCTTGCTTTTTCTTTAAAACATAATTTTACGGAAATTTTTATAATTACTCTGAAAAAATTAAAAATTATTTCGATGGAATGTTTAAATAAAAAATAATTTAATTAAATTTTTTTACATGAATATAAAATATGTAAAAATGAAAAATATTTAAATAAATAATATTATTTTTGGTTTTTATTGTATATTTTTTATATATTTTGTTTCTTCACATTCTTTTTATTTTTTGTTTCTTTTTTGGAATGAATAACTTAATTAGCTTCAGTCTTATAATAATATAGATACTTAATAGTGCTTCAAAATCATTAATATAACTAAAATTAACAAAAATAATGAATGAAGTGTATAATATATGAAATTAAATAATGTACTTAAAAAATAAATACGTTGCATATAATTAAATATCATAATAATTAGATAAATAGTTCTTGTTTTAGGTTTGTTAATTAGATATAATAATTTTAATTATTCCAAAGATGAAATTTCGTTTTTATCTTGTAAGATAATAGCTAATTAATTATAAATAGTTTTCAGATCTTTTAAGAATATCCTAACATAATGAAAACTTCTAAAATATTTTTAGAATTTTTAAAAATTATTGTTTCTGATTTCATTAAAAAAAAAAAAACAAAACAAGGAAGTTATACAATATAAATTAATAAATTTCTTTAAATTAAAAAAAAATTAAGCTTATATATTTTAGGCCTTTTTTTGTTTTTTTTTTTTTTCACAAAATTTCGAATAGTTAAATTAATTTGCAATGTAAGTATATAAATACTGTTTTAATTAATTTATAAGCAATTCACTTAAAATTTAATTAAATATACTAGAACACAATAATTTTCACAATTTATGTTTTGATTTCATTTTGCATTTGATATAAAACGTTATTTGTTTTCGATATAAAATTAGAAAAATTAAAAAAACAAAATTAAAATGATTAAAAAAATTAGATAACAAAATTTTCGTTTACTTGAAAAACTAAACAGAAAACAAAACAAAAATAAGAAATATAAATAAACAAATTACTTAAACTATAAGATAACATATATGCATATTCAAAAATAACTTAAAAGTAAAGAAATTTTGAACTAAAGTTCATTCTTGCGAATAATACATAATATTTTTAATTAATTGGCAATAAATTTGTAATAAATATTATATTTGATTTCCTTCATTTTTAGCATTTTCACATTATTGAAAAGAGCACATTCGATTATTGAATTATGATAAAATTTTATATTTTATCATTATTTTCAATTTATATTTATTATAATATATAAGAATATATATAAGAAGATTACTATTATAAAAGGAAATTATGAGATTTATTCAAAAAAATGCAATATTTGTAATAATATTACATTTTATCGAATGAGATTATAAAAATAATAATTACGTGACAAAAATGCAGCTTTGGTAGTTTAGTTAACTTTATGTAGTTTATACAATTAAAACTGATTTTTTTTCCTTTAATTTTTATACCTACACTATATGATTTAATATTATTTTATAACTTAATAAATTTCAATCAAAATATTAGAAACTTGCTTTGGTAAAGTATAAATATAAAATATTTATATATAAATAAATAAACAAAAAAAAAATTGAAATATTTTTGGTTATATTCCAAGATCATCAGATAAACGTTCACCAAATTCAAATTTTCTTTTATCTTCTAAACTTTGTATGTTTTCAGTATTTTTAATGGTATTAAAAAACAAAACAAAAATTATAAATCCAATATAAACGCCTAAGGTTATCCAACATAGTGATTGATCATGTAATCTCTGCTCAAAATTTTTCAAAACTAATAAACCAATTGTTAGTCCAGCTAATGCACCCATTAAATGCGCAACATATGATACTGATGGCCCAAGAGATGCTTCAGCTGCATAACGTGCATAAATTGCAAATCCTACATCACAAGAAGCTTAAAAAAAAAGAAAATTATTTATGTTACAAGTATAATATACATATATTTATTTATTTTACATACCAATTATGAATATGACCGCTAATCGAAATATTCCGTATCTCATACTATTGTAGTTTAACATAACATTTGCTAAATGTGCAGCTAAGAGTGCATATACTCCACCACTAGCTCCTACTAAACACACATCTGGATCAAATATACTTGTACCTAAAATTAATATGGATAAACAAAAAAAAATTTAAACCCAATATTTGTGAATGGTAATTATATATTTAAATAAAAAAAGGTTAAAATTATGTATTTAATATAATACATTGCCTGTGTTTTGCTTTTACCTAGAGACCCAGCTAATACACCAGAAAGATATATACAAGCTATTCTGCCGCTTCCATGTACCATTTCTAAAGGTAGTCCGAATAATAATTGTATACCCAGATTAAATCCTAAATGAAACCATCCGGCATGAACAACCATGTAAAATATAAATCTCCATACTTCATGACGTTTATCTGGACGATATATAAATATTGAATCAATTGGTATTGGACCAATTGGATCTGTGGTATATTCAGATGTTAATGTGTGATATATAAAAAATCCCAATTCAATTAATGTTATTAATATAATAAATATTGGTGGTGGACAACATGAATATTTATCAGCATAATATCTACGATCACGTTCGTCTGGTAATATTTCAAAAGCTATTGTTTTAACCATCTTTTTGAAAAATGGTGGTTCTTCTAAAATTAAATGGAAATCGTTTTCAGATGATATTTCTCGATCACGATGATGTACAGCACACTTAAAGCTACGTGTACGTTTACCGCTCATAACATTTACAAATTCTTGAAAAGATACATATCCAGATCCTTTTGGTAATTTTGATTTCATTGCACGTTCATGTAAAAGTTCACGTTTATTAATAGGCACTTGTGAAAGGAATTCTGGGGATTTAAGAGCGGCTATAAATGTGTCAACTGGAATTTCTCCAAATCCTTCTGGATCAAATTTATCAAATAATATTCTCCATTTATCTTTAAGTAATTCTCTTCGTAATTCAGATTCATCAAAATCAGAATTTAGGTCTGTATGATCCGTATCATATATTGCCTCCCCCTAAGAAAAAAAAAAAGCAATCAAAAATTATGAAGCATGTTAAAATTTTGTATATTATGTATTTGGTTTCATACATTTAACTGTTCTCTTGAAACAGGCAAAAAAAATTCGTGCTTCTAGTTAAAAATCAATTATTTTTTATGAAAATTGAATAAAAATGCACAAAAACGAAATTAAATTTAAATATTTAATTGTCGTGCTTCTTTAAACTGAAAAAATTTATATTTTCTTAGTTACAATATTCCTTTCTTCATTTAAATCCTAATAAAAACTTATGAATGCTTCTGTCTAGCAATGTTACAATTTTCTTATTTTGTTTTTGTCTAAAATACGAACTATCTTGTATATCTTATTCTTTCCGTCATTAATGACATTGTCAGACTTAAAATTTCAAATTGTCAACAATTCTTGCTTTCGTTTACATAGCAAATTTATTTATTTAAAGCAGACTGCTTGATACAACTGCGTTTTCGTTTTTTCCTGTGTATTTCGAGTATGCGATTTTTTATTAATTTAGAATAATCTAAAAGTTGCGTTTTAGTTTTTTCTTTTCGGTAGGTGTTAGAAGAAGAATAGCTTCGGGACTAGTTATTTTCTCTCGAGAGGTGATTCCTTGGAGTTTTGTAGAAAAAAAAAATTTTGAAAGAGTTGCGAGTGGAAATATCGTACAAAAATATTTTTGGTAAAAATATTACTCTCCTGTGGTTTTTTTTTTATACTGTTCCCATTCATATTCTTCTTTCGTATGTTTCTATCTCTAGTCAGGGAAAACTCCTGTGTTAAAAATGAACATTAAGCATTGAAATAAAATTAAATTAGAATAAACACATGCTCTACTAATCGTTAACTTAATCTTGTCGTTCGCATGATATATTCGCAAGTGCAGGTTCAATTATTAAACATCATCCATTACTAATATTAGTACTTCATATCTATACATGACAAAGGCTTGTGTTCAGTCTGTGATACAACGAAATTAAACACCCGATAATATCTATTTGTTTTTTTTTTTAAATATGTGATAGTTTTCAGTTTTAAAACTCAACTCGGAACTTTTGATTTTAAATCGAAGGGGCAACAAAATATTTTACTGTAATTTCATTGCAATTCATAAATTTTTTTTTTAGTTTATTGTGTAAACGCTATAAATATGCGTCATTTCACTTAAGGAAAAAGGAAACAAAATAAACGGAAATCAAAGAAACCGTAAAAAGTTTCCAAATAACGATAGATTTATTAAAACGATATTAATAATATGGCTGATTATACTCGTATTATTATAAAAACAAAAATTTGGAATAATTTCTTTGGATTAATTTCAATCAATCTTTCATTTAAAAAAAATTATAATAGATTAAAATTAATCAAAAATTAACTGTACTAAGTCGACTGTAATAAAGTACATGAAAATATTTTTCGTTTATGTAGTATGTGTTAGGTCAACTGGCATAAACAAATAATAAGGAATTTCTACCATCGAATTAAAGGTTATGTTAAACAATTTTGGTGCTAATATTTGTTTCCAATAGATATATTAATATATAATGTGAACATATCTATATTTCTGTGTATACACATACACAAAAATATATTTATACCGATATACATACATCCATATATACATATAAAATCAAAATTATAGAACAATATTGCATAAAATTCTTATACATGCGTACTTTACATTTCAAGTAGTATGAGGAATATTTGTATTCAGGCGCATTTTAATATAAATACTATAGCAATTTTATAATTTTTAAGGGTTAAGGAAGGACTTAAGGGGTTTTTTTTTATCAAAATGTACGTATATATTTATGTATAAGAGATTTTTCTGTTTACCCTTTAATAATATATTAATTTTATGTTTATGGTACATAATATACATTTCACTAATCTATATTGGTATTATTGTATAGTTAAGAATTAAGTAATTATTACCTGTGATATGGTTCCAATGCTACCTAAACTACCAGCAATTGTTGAAATTTCATTATAATTTAATTCTTCAATTCTTATATGTGATGAAGTTATTTGACTTTGATGATATTGATTTGATGTACTATGATGTCTACTATCAATATATAAATTATTTTCATCTGGTGGATTGTCACTTGTTCCACTACATTGTTCTAAACCTGGCCACATACCTTATATAATATTTTTTTATTTTAAAAATTATTTGATTCATCATACTGTCCAAAAAAAACAAAAAATTTATAATTTTAAATTTATCATGATCTACCTAGGTAATATATAAGGTGTTCGAGAGAAAATAATTATGTAAAAAAATTTATTTGAAATTTGAGTTTTTCACAATAATAAATTCACGCCATAGTATAAAACCATGCTCAACTTATATAACACATATCTATATATATTTATATATGTAAAAGTATACGTATTATATATTTAAATAAATATAGTGTGCAATTTCATGCTGATTATCTTATTTATTTTCATATTACTACACGTTTGTATTTATTTCCTGCATATTTTTTTCTTTAAATAATAATTAAAACAATTTGTTTTATCATTTATATTCACACATTTCATAAATTATTAATTTCTATTACTAAATATTGGCTTCCTGTTTTTTTTAATATTAATTATTATGAACGGATTTTTTTAAAAATTCTTAATTATAATTAATCCTTAAAATCCTTTTATATTATTTATATATATTATTCTATTAGACTTTAATGAATGGAATGAATTTTTCTTTTTCATTTACTTACTAAACAAAATAAAAAAAAATTAAATGTTGGACAAAATATGCCTAACAATAACTAATGTTGTTAAAGTTTAAAAGTGATTTTAGAAGCTATAACAACAATATTTCAAGTGCGCAGGAGTTGAAAATGAAAATTAAATGAAAAAAAAAAATATTGTACTTAACATAATGTTTTTCACTTCCTTTTATTATTGTTTTCATTTTGTTTTCGCTTTTTAATAATGTCAAAACGTAAAGTTTTTTCACCCCTTCTTATTTTGATTAAAAAAAAAAAAAATTGCTTTCATGTTTTTTATTTACAAGGAAAAATTTGTAATTATATTCTAACAGGCGAATTTCTGTCCGTCCTTCATTATGTCTTATTAAGATTTATGATTCCGCATCTTATTTTCTTCACAACGCAGTAATTGTAAAAGAAGAACCAAAGCGGTGTACGACAATGGCAGATGATTTCTGTTGATAACTCAGCAGAACAGCAGAACGGCAGAACAGTAGAACGGCGAAATCAACTGTTTGTATTATTTTTCATATAGGGTTCTGAATCATAAAAAAAAAGTTGTACAATTTTGTCAGAATCGAAAAAAAAAAAAAAAATTCAATTCAAATTTTAATGCAATGAATCCGAATGTATATTTCAATTAAAATTTTAATAGATGCAATTCCGAAGTAACCCATAATGTCACACACACAGGGAAACAGACGATGCTACCGTCAGCGGTATAATAGGATTTTCGGTAACTCTATAGTATGAATTTTGACATTTCGCGAAAGAGAATCACTCTTGTTCTCTTTTCAATTTAAGAAAGAATGCTGAATTAAAATTGTCATTTCTGAATTAGAACTTTTCATTCCTCAAATTTCTCAAAATTAGAGATCTCGCATTTTTAAAATTTTGAAATTTCGTCAAAATTTGCCAAAATCCATAAAACAAAACTAGTTTATCGAAATTAGTTTGTTAACATTGGTTATATTAGAAATTAAAAAAATTAAAATTCTAATTGGATTTAAATTTGAAGTCCTAACATGAGTTACCCTTGTGCCTTCATTTTTAATAATACATACATATTATGTACATATAGTTAAAATTTTATATTAAAAGTGATACTGTAATTTAAATAACGGTAATTTTCTTCTCATACTTAAATGGCTTTTGTCCGTTGTGGTTTCCTTTTAACTAATAAAATAAAATACACGTAATTATAGTCATGCATTTGAATCATATATATGTAGGTATAAAAGAGAAATATACATGTTTCAATTTTTCTTTTTTAAAGGAATTTTTTATTTTTATTAAAGCTATGAGCTTTGAAAAGGTTTTGAAATTTGGAAAAAGAAGAAAACTACTTTTCTATATGAAAAATCTTATTTGTCTTTGCCTTGTAACATTTTCTTAAGAATAATTGTAAAAAATAAAATTTAAAACAACAGAATAAAAAAATTACTATTACTAAATTACTAAAATAAAAGATACACCGTAGAGAAATATGCAATAATTTGAGTTATAAGGTTCGTCCTTCCATAAATATTTTTTGTCGAATAATAAATTGAAACTGTTTTTTTGTAAAACAAACACAATAGTTATTTGGCTCAAAAATTTGTTGAACATCCTTGGTATACAGGTGCATTTTTTTTATTTCAATATTAAAAGGTCAAATATGCGAACTTATATAGAATTTGTGGTTTATGTCCCTTGTTTGAACAATATAACGTTAATAAATGTATGTGAATAAAATTGTATACATATAGAATACACATCTATATAGTTCTACTTATGTATGCGCACATGCATATACACGTAAATAACGATTTATTTAAAAAAAATATGTTTTAATATTTAAAATAGCGAAGCAGAATTTCAAGTGAAAATTGTCATGTTCAATATCGACGGATTTTGTTTCCCGCTTCAAACATTTGGGGCTAATTAGTACACGCATTAGTTAAATACATCTCCATATGTTGAATAAGATCTATAATATTATTGATTTACAAATGCAAACGTTTTTTAACCAAAATTCGAATTTTATGTTAAAACAAAATTAAAAGATAAATATAAAATCAGATCATTTAAAATTAAAAATTTAGAAAAAAAATTGATGCTACACATACGTTACATTAGTTTGAATTCGCGTTTGGCTTTGTAGTTCTGACTTGGACAGATCTTATTATTTAAAACTGCGCTGCAATAGAACTACTAGCAGCGCTGCTAACAAAAACGCTGGTGTCAAAAAGTTTGATTTATATTCTTTATTAACTGAGTTCTCTACTAATTGATGTTATAAATATAAAAGCAGAAAACAGTTTTATGCTGTCCATTTGACAGAAGATCTTTTACAGTTCTAAAAACAAAAACGGAATGCTTTATGCAATAAACTACAAAACGTGTTGCCATGCCATTGCAAATTTTTCTTAGAACTACAATAGCGAATTCAACATCAAGTAGATCACATGAAAAAATTCATATATAATGAAAGATTGCAATCAACAATTTTTGATTGAAAAACAAATTGTAATATGAATGAAGTTAAAATTAAATTTCATCTGTTGACTTATTATTTAAGTCAACAGATGAATATTTTAAATTTGAAATTTTTATTTAATTATCAAAAAATTTTTATTATTTTCCATAAACAATTGTTTTTATGAATGGCAACACTGTTTATGTTAAATACATGACGCACTATTATTCGAATAGTTTTGTTAGGTTTTACTTTATTATGTCAAATGTTTAAAATATTTATTTTAAATAATAAATGCAGTAGCCTAATGTATAATTATTTCTAATTCAAAATATTATTATTAATAAGGTGAAAATGCATATAATTATTTACAACTTTATTAGGAAAACTAAGTAAGATTTTTACTAAATAAGGTTTACTGGATGAAATATGTATATGTATGAACATTAATTTAAAAGAAAAGGTGAAATTAAAGATATAGAAAAATACATAATGTTAAAGAAAAAACAAAGGAAAAAGAATAGTGGTGAATATTTTTTCCAAATTCCTAAGGAATTAACTACTATAACATTTATTTTTTTATTTTTATATAGAAAGGAAGTAGCCTCAACATGTAAGCGAATTTTGAAAGTAACCTTTATTATGTTATATATGTTATTTGATATATGTATACAAGCGAATGTGAAAAATTATAACTTAATTGAAATCAAAGACACGATGGCAGAAAAATGTTACAAATATGCTTGGTATTTTGCAAACATTTTAGATAAATTCAGGCCTGATCGTCCGTTTCGCTTCACTCGGCAGGTGAGAAGAAAGTAACTGTTATATATATTTATGATGTAATTTTCGAGTGAGAAGACTTATTCGGTATTGCGTATTTTGTTTTTTTTTTTAAATGTACTTATACAAAATTAATTCACTTTCTTTTTAAAAGTGAGTCGTTCAGTCGATAATTTGAGAAAAAATGCAAAAATTCAATTCGAAAAAATATCAATTAGAAAAAAGGAGAATTCTGATTTGAAAATGAAAAAAAGGTCAGGAAAAAAAGCGAAATACACGATTAGGCTGTCAATGTAAGTACATATACGAAAATTATAAAAAATATTCGATTTGATTAATGTTTCCTTTTTTTTTATTTTAGAGAAAGTTTTAATATAAAAATATGTTATTAATGAATTTTGGCGTGAGATAAGTGGTTTGAAATTGTATCTCCTAGTGTAAGTCTTCTTCAAATTTTATTAATCTAATAACAATATTTTTTAGACGAATAATTTCTTTTTTAAAAATTCTTTAATTAAAAAATTTTGATTTAAATTAAAAAAACACAAACCCGAGTAATAAAATGAACCAACTTTTTATTTTTATTATTATATTTAAATTTTTATGATAATTTACAAGTACACATGTACATAAAATGAAAAATATTTTTAATAAATTTCTAAATTAATGTAAAATTTTTTTTTTACAATATTATGTAAGTAATAATTCTTTACTTTTTTATAATAATTTTGTTCTTCTTTATTTGACTTTCTAAAATAATAAATTTTATTTGTTTGTTCGATTTAATTTAACAATTTTTTTTTTAATTAATTTAATTTTTCTAATTTCATTTTCATTATATAACATTTTTATTGAAATTTTATAATGTAGGTATTACAATTTATATGTAGGTATTTGTATTTAATACATTTTAATATAATTTTTTTTCTTAATTTTTAAGATGATGTTTTTATTTTTTAAATTTTTACAATATACTCTATACAATATTTATAATAATTTGTTAATTCTAATTCCGATAAATGGGTATTGGTATGTATTTTATATGCATTTGTTTATTATATAATTATGTATACTATATGTTCATTAGCTTTTGAGATCCTACTATATGTATATGTACTGTTATTTTAAAAATTACTCTTATTTTGACATTTCTAAGCTAAATAGTAACAGGCATGAATTCTATTAAAATTTAATTATAGTGTTGTAATATGTAACAAGAATTTTAATCTGATAATACTCAAGTATTGTAAAATTGTATTTTTTTTACTTTTGGAGAAAAATTAATTAGAAGTGACTAATTTAAATCAAGTAGAATAAAAGAAAAGATTGTATGTAGACTTAATATCAATTTGATTTATTCAGGAATTAAAATTTTAATTGCCAAGTTGATATTAGTAAGCCAAGTTAATAATAATTATATTGTTGTAAGCCAAGTTCATATTAGACCTGCATTTTCGTAGACACAAAAAAAAATCATATCAATGATAAAAAATAATTGCTATATTAAATAAATTTAATTAAAATTTTATTCATTTTAGGTATGTACAGCAATATTTTAAATGGACATTTTGAAAGCGAATCGTATAAATGTTTATTTATTTAAATTTAATTCCCAATAATGTTCCTATAAAGTTTAATAAGATTCAATTGTTTGTAAAGTATGAAAAATTTTAGATTTAAAATGATTTTTTTTTTTCGTGTTATATTTGATAATATACAATTTAAATTAAGAAATAAATTATTATATTTTTAAAAATATTGTTTTTTTTTTCTAAATGAAAAATTTTAAATATTGTATAGATGATAATACATACATATATAGAGTTTTTTTTGATTTTAGATTAAAAAAAAATAATTTTAAATAGAGCAACATCAATATATATAAATGTTTTTAAAATACTCATTTTGTAATAAATATTATATAATTATAATAAAGAGATATTTTTAAAATAAGAATAATGTTATTAATAATGCTTTTTCTTGCTTAATAATAATTATATATTATTTAATTAATTTAAATTTAAATTTTCATATAATGTTTTTTTTTTTTTTTGTTTTTAATAAATATATAATTTATATGTATATTTGGAAGACATTTTATTTCTTTTTCAAATCTTAAATTTAATTAAGTAGTTTTGTTTTTTATTCTTAAAATGTTTTATATTTTTATATTTGATCAATATAATTCGAAATGAATTTATGCTCCTTAATGCAATTTTGTAAATTTTTAATAAATGTCATTACTAATTATAATATAAGTAATAATAAATATTTAATATTTATATAGATTGTTATTAAGTTATGTATTTATAATGAAATTTTTATATTTAAATAATGTAATCTATTTACTATGTTGGTTTTATTTGTAAAGTAGAGGAACTAAATATTTTATATTTCTAATATTGAATTTGAAAATTTAATTTCCAAATTTTTAAATTTATTTGTTTTTATCCTCATTGTATGTGTGCTATATATTAAAATAAATCTTCAAATTAGAATTAAAAAGTTCTGTGTTGTAAAGTAGACCGAAAAAACAAATTTTAGGTAAAGACCTTTATAATTCTAATGTAGAGAAATGTTGTTATACAAATAATTGATGAATCCTGATTGAAGGTATTACAGCATAATATTTTCGTATTATTAAGCACAATATTTTTATATAATTAAAATGTAATGGATATTTATTTATGTTTTCATATTAAAATATTAAACTATTAATTAAATATTGAAACATAAAATATGTTCCGTCCGGAGTTTGAATCCGAGACACAAAACAATAATAAGAGCATAAATTCAGAACATAGAAAATAAAATATGTATATAAAAAATTGAAAAATGCATTTATAATATTGTAATATGCATTTACAATTTTTTCCTATATAATATTTGTATACAATTATAATTATTATTTAAAATTTATATTTTTGATAAAATATAATTTAAAATAAATATTATTTAAAATTATTAACTAAATGCATAGATAAAAGGAATACAAATATTATGTAAAACAAAATGTTAAAAATAAATTTTGTATTAAAAATTGTTGTAAAGATTATTATTTTGTAAAATAGTAACATACAATTTGCAATTGGATTATTTTTTTATATTTAGTATTTTTAAGCATAAAATTAATTTTATTTATTTATGAATTCAAAAAAAATTCACAATTTATTTTTTGTTTTGTTTTAATATAATGAACATAATATACAAAAACAAAAGTAACAATAATCGATAATGTAAAATGTTCATTGAATTCTTTTGCATCTTAATTGATATTTGCAATTATTAAAATAATTGTATTTATTAATGCTTTAATGCAAAGTTTTTGACAAAATATATATTGTTGAAATTTTTTAACATTTTTGTAATATAACAATTTCAACTTTTAATTTTATTTATTGTGCAAAATGGAAAATTTTGAAAAGTATAAATTAATTTTATTTAATCAAAATATCATTTAAGTAAAATGCCAAATTTAAATTATCCAAATTGAATCGTTGTCAAAGATGGTTTGTTAACCGGTTGAATGCCAAAGTTTTTTTACATAAATTAAATTGTAGGGTTGGTGCATTTGCTGTCGACTGACATTTGATATTATCGATTATACCTAATTATATATAAATTTAATGATAAGTTTAACAATTTTATTTTTAAATTAAATAATTTAAAAATTATTTTTAAATTAATTTAATTAAAATATTAATTTAATTTAAAATAATCAGTTTAATCACAAATTAAATTGAGTTATGTGGAAAAACCATAGTTATATTATGAAATAATAATATCAATTTAATTTTTAAATTATTTTTAAAGAAAATAAAATTTTTATAATTATAACATTTGTGTAACAATTAATACAGATTATTCTTTTTTTTTATTTACTAAAAATCAATATTAAGTTTATATTTTAACAATATTTTGGATTTTAGTTTTTCTTAACAACTCAACTCTTATTTAACATAAGGTTTTTCCATTTTTCATATTAATCATTTACTTCTTTTTAATATTTATAATTAACTATTTTTATATGCATTTCATTTGTAACTTTTTTACATAGTACTTCATTTATGTGGTTCTTTTTACAAATCTCTTTTAATTTTTAAATTCAACTTAATATTATTATGATATTGATTTAAATTCATATTTAATTTAATATCTATATATTTTTTATATTAAATTTAACATAAAAACGAATAAATTCCGATATTTTTTTTTATATATGTATAGTATTTACTTATATGTATAATTAAATGAATTTTTCTTAATTTATTCCATTGTGCCATATTGAACTTTCTTCACTTTGAAATATCTAAAAATAAAATAAATAAAATTAGTATAAAAAATTAAAAATTATTAATAGATGAATAACATGCCAGTGGCATACTTTTGAAATTTCAAAAATTGACATTTTTATAAAACATACAGGTTAGGTTAGGTTAGGTTGTCGCGGCCCCCGAAGCGTACACATAGGCCAACTAGGCCCGTTGTGGTACCGCCGGTACCACATAAAACATATAACGCAAATTTATTTTTAAATCATAATTATTTTAATTGAATGTGTAAAAAATGATGTAGAGGCATTTATGAATGTGTAAAAAATGATGTAGAGGAGACGTAGTTGGGTCTGTACTGCCTAAAATTGCACACTCTTTTATCTGGTCATAAATTTAATAATATTTTTTTAAATCCCAACTCTAAATGAAAAATTTCTTTAAAATTAATAATTTGTTAATTAATACAATTAATGAATTTTCATAATCTAAGAAATTTTTGCTGCATATATGAGATAATTTTTTCCTTTTAAATAAATTTCATTTCATATAGGCTCTGTAGATTCTATATTACCTCCATACAGCATAACCTCCAATTGTAATCAAAACAAATACTGCTAATGTTGTTCCAACAGCTAACGGAGCAGTTTCATCGCTAAGAATAAGTAATTAAGGTAATTAGTTTTCTTTATTAATATTTAAAATAAATATTTTTTAATTCTGTTACCACATTTATATATATATATATATATAAGTGTTTTATATTATAAAATTGAATTTTATTTTTACATACCGATAACTTCCAGTTGCACTACATACAAATACTGGTCCCCATAAACCATTAGCTTTATACATAAAACTTTGCATACGTGTTTCTCTTAAATATAATTTTGCAATATGTCCAGATTTATCATCTGAATCAGCTGGTGCATACATTAATATCTCTTGTTCTGTATGACATGAATATGATTTACCAACTGGTGTCGGAAAATACATTGATTGAGGTTTTGTTGATAATTTAACATTTAAATTTGGACGATCGATATGTTCAAATATTGGATTTGATGATGAATATGTTAAATCCATACCACTAATATACCATCTTTCACCACCAGGTGTCTTAAATAAAAAAAAATAATATAATAAAATTATTTAATTGTTTATAAAGAAACAAACTAATTAATTTCATTCTAATTTTATATTTTGAAAAATGTTTGAATTTCGTGCAATATATAAATATTTTGTTGGATAAGAGTAATATTAATAGAATGAAATTATTAATTTTAAAATTCTAAATATTTAGCCCCTTCTGTATATAATCGCAAAGAATATTTTCTGCTTCTCCAATTAAATTTAACAATAAATTTTTCTTAGTTTTAATTTAGAAAATTTTCAAAATAAATAAAATTTTCACATAAAAAATTTTTCGAAAATTTATTTTATCTCAATTTTCTTGAAAACTGCATAGAGTTACTAAATCTAAACTAAATTCTACATATAGTTTGAACTATGACCCTTCTATAAAATAATGCAAGTATATATACATGAAACAACGTATGCAAACATTAAATTAAAAGTCGCCATCATGTCCGTTTATTAAATCATTAAAAAAATATTTCACTATCCCTTTAATACCCATTTAATAATCTTTAAGATTAAAAAAAAATCGCATATCTCAACAGTGACTCATAATTTGTCTCCCACACATTTTTTTTATTTCTTATATGAATTTTAATAGGACCTACATATATATAAATTTAATTGTAGATATATATTTAATATAACATATATACGTTTAATTATCGTACATATTAAATAATATTAATAGAAAATAATATTAATAGAACTACTTTAGTATTAATAGAACAATTAATAAATGAATTTAATAAAAATTATGAATTTAAAATTATTTTTACCTTTTGATAATAAATATCAAGAACAAAACCTTTAAATTTCATTTTAATACTCTCATAATCTGATTCTGAACAATCACCAGATAATTGTGGATCATCTGGTATAAATGTATCAGCTTCAACATCTTCACCATATTTATTACGATATCTAATTGTTAACAGTGCATCTAAAATATAAAATAAAATTATTATATTGAAAATAAATAAGTTTTATAATTAAAATATTAAACGAAAATTAATTAAATTATGAATTTTTTTTTATTAAATTCTTTCCATACCTGTTTGAATTAAAACACAAGTTGTTCCTGCTGTTGAATTTATTCTATATAATGATAATGTTGATAATGTAGGTGACTATATAAAAAATATATAAAGAAAAATGAAAAAAAAAAAAAAACAATTATTTTTTTCCTATTCCATATAAATTTTTAAAAACTACAATCGAGATAAATGAATCTTATATAATTACCATATTTCTTCAATAGTATATTTTGTTAAATTTTCGCAAATCCAAAAACAAAAAAAAAAATTACTTACAGATTTTGTTGGACTTTGAGTATATTTTGTTAAACGTGGGGATTTTGTACCCTTTAATGACCCCAAATCAATTCCATATACTATTTGTATTATAAAACCTACATGAAAATTTAATATATAAAAATTATTATTATGTATTTTTATAATATTATACAATGTAGTTATTTACATACCAATTAAAAGAAAACAATTTAATAATGAATAAAACATTTTCAATTTTTAAAATTATGTCAAGGGTTTTTGATTTTTCCAAATTCCAAATTTTTCTTTTGTGTTTCTTGAGTTGTGCCCTTTTTTTTAGTTCAATTGATGAAAATTTCTTTATGATTTTAGTTTAAAATTTTATATTACACTTTTAACTTAAGAATTTTTGAAAATTAAAAGCAAGGATGAAAAAAAAATCAAAACAAATATTTTTATACTGTTACTTTGGTTTTTCGTTTTTTTTTTATTATAAAAAAATTTGAAAAATTTTAAAAACAATTTGTTTCCCCAATTTTTTATTAATTTTCCTCTTTTAAACTTTCTTATATGAGAAAAAAAATCTTATGCTATTAAAATTTTATTTCTTTCTAAATATGGAAAGGAATTTTCTTTCAAAAAGAAAATTCTCTTCTAAAAAGAAAAATTTTTTTTCTTTCTTTCGTTCTAATTTTTTTTTTTTGTTTAATGTTTTTAGTTCTGCGCAAAATTTAACGAAATGCTCTTTTATTTTTCCTTATGAGAAATTGACGAAAATTTTTTTTAAAATTCTTAATTTTTTTTTAACTAAAGTTTTGATTTTGAATGTTAAAGTGTAGACTCATTAGGGAATAAAAATTATTTTTGAATATCCTTAAAATTTTAGAAGTTGGTCTTTTGAAATTTTAAATTTTACTTCTGCTGCTTAGTAATTTAAGAATTATTTATTGAATTATTATGTGAATATGTGGGGAAATTAGAGCAAGAAACAATTTTATTTACATTCACTTTTCATTTCGAAAAATTCGAAGTATTTAATTTTGTGGAAACTTCTGTAACGGTATAGAAATAGAGGACTCTTATAGTTCAAAATTTAAGTTTTTTCAAATAATTCGAATGATTTAAAATAAACGCATTTATTCACAGTATTGAATTGTTGTTGAAGGAAAAGTACCATGTTTCTCTTTGATAAATGAAAATATGAGATACCCTTATAAAAATAATTTCCTGTTGAATCTATTTTATTGTTATATCAAAATTATAACATGGAAAAATCGTTGCATACTTTCTGGAGAAAAATTAAAATAGGCCTTATCATAATACATAGTCAAATGGATTTGAGTTCAATAAATAAATATATTTTTAATAAGAGTCTAGTCTATATATCTTTCTGCTTACTGTGAATAAGATTTTTTTTTAAACAACAAAGTTACGAGTACGTCCCTTCTTCTTCAAGTATAACAATCACTTATAATATAAAAAATGTCACTTTTGAGCAGTTTAATATTCCGATAAAATAAAGAATTTTAAAATTAACAAGGAAAATATTAAAAAAACCCTTTTTAAAACACCGCGTCTCAACTTAGAAAATTCGAAATTTTTGGTCAGTTTTTGTTTCTTTAAAATCCGTTAGCTTTATTTAAGGCCAAATATAGTAAGAAGTGCAATTTTTCGAAATTGTTCATTTAATAGACGTTAATTAATTGTTATTTAATTGTTCATTATAGACGTATGCAACGAAATATCCTTATTAGTCTTTAGCCTTAAGTAAATTATGGAAAGTTAAAGTTTTTAATTTTTATAATAAAAATCACGTTGTTGACTTTTTGAGTTATAACTAACTTTAATTTAAAATTTTTTTAATTTTAAATACCAAGATATACAATATGTTAAATTTTATTTAATATATGCAAATATATTTAATCATGTAAAATTACTTAGTAAATTTATTCTCTTATATTTATCTTTCCCATAAATATTTTTATTAATATTAACGTTATATCAAACAATTCAGTCAATTCGTGGGAATAAATATTTATTTAATTGCCAACAAGGAATTATTCAACAGGTCTAAATTTTATATATATATGCAATGAATTAATTTCAACAGGTTTCAAATTAAATATACTCAAATAAAGCCATTAAAATATTAATAATATAACAGTTCGGGGATTACTAAAAAAGAAAACCGTGTATAAGATAGTGTTTACACATAAAATAAAAATTATTTTTTATATTATTATATAGAATTTTATTTTGCTTAACATTAATCTAAATAAATATTTGCCTGTTATATTTCAATTATAATTTTATGTGTACATTATTTACTTCACAATATATATACACATATTTCATAAATTGCGTATATAATTTATATTTACCCTTCTTCTATTTTTAGCAATGTACTAGGTTTAATATACATATTTAGGGAAATTAATTTACCTTATTTTTCTTTAATGATATTTTATTAAATATTATATGCATACATGTCCATACATATACGTGTAAACTACTATTTAAAGCATGTCTAATTATATATTGATATATTATTAACCTGTTGTGTTAAACACCAATAAATTACCATTAATAACTCTTATATATTTTATACATATACATATTCACATGCATATACATATGAATTTTGTATTGAATATATCCTCTTTTATGAAAATCATACTTTCAAACAGTCACATTAACAGAGAATAAAAATAGAACGTTAAACTCGGAAATACGTCTTTCAAAACCATTATACTGATAAAAAAAAACTGTTATACAAACTGTTATACATTAAGAAAAACTGTTATACAATATAAAATTAACGTAAAATAACATAAATAATATAAAACAGTAGAATTTTCAAAATGTTAAGTAATTTTAACTTACAATAAAAAATAACTAAAGGCGACAAATAAATGATTTCATTTCTTATATTTCTGTATTTTATAGTATAAGTCCTGGACAATAATTTTACACATACCTTTACACATACATTCATAAAATAATTTGACATATAAAAGTTAGAAAAGGAAAAATTAAAAAAAAAATAAACACAGTTTCAATCATTCTAACATAAAAATAATCAAAAAACAAAAACAAAAAAAAGTGTTTATTGTTATCTCGTTAAGTCCTGCGCTGTCAAATTATTGATTTTTGTCAAAATCAGAATATGTTATACGTATGAATACACATATAAATTATGTGTTTCGTCGTGTATGTTGATAAAATACTTTCAAAAAGCCAAAAACAAAAACGAAAAGAATAAAATAAAAAGAAAATAATTGAATTTGTACAGATTTTTAACCCATAAAACAAGGTAACCAATATCAGTTGTAGAATGTTATAGTAAGATAGCAGTAGAAAAATAGCACCGAAAAAATTTATACAAAAGCATAATAATAGTACCGAAAAAAAAAAAACCACATAAAAAAATCATATAATAACAATAATAAAAACAAAATATAATTTAGTCAAAGTTTCAACTATAATATAACAAGGACCTAAATAAAGAAGAGAAAAAAAGAAAATTTTCTTTTTAGTTCTTTTTGTTCCTTTCTCTAAATACTAATATAAAAATTTTGTTAAAGAAAAAAAAAAGATAAGAAAAAAAAAACGTATATTTTATATTTTTTTCTTCAAAATGTCATTAAAAAGTTCTGATAAAAAATTAGCGAAAACGCGAGGTACTGTAACAATAAAAGAAGCTAGTTTTGATGAACCACCACCACCACCTAAACCGCCATTAAAATTAGAAAATCGTATAGAAAATTTTAAAAATGATCCAGAACAAATGGAAGATTTAGAAAAATTTATTAATGAAATATTGGAGAATGCAACTATTGAAGCTGAAAAGAAAAGGGAATTAAATAAGGTAGGTATACATATATATATATATATATGTATAAATATATTCATTCACTATAATATATAACAATAATATAGGTGTATTATTGTGTGCAAATGTGTACATACATACATACATACATACATACATATGAAATATATAAAAATTTGTTATCAAATTCTAAATTAACCAGAACTGTAATATAAAAAAAAATTTTTAAATTTTCAAAATGAATTTAATAATAAAATTTTTTTAATTTATTTCAGACAGAACAATCAAATCAACGTTCAAGTAAGTTTTCTTATTTTTTATTTTCTCATATTTTATAAATAAAGGATAAAATTTTAGTGGTGTTAAAATTTTTTTCATAGTGTTAAAAAAAATGTTTATTATTCTTTTGGTTTTGTTGCTTTTAAACTTTTAAAATTTTATTATTGAAATTTTTATAAAAAAAGAAAAAAAAAATCATAATTTGATCTACATATATCCCAATTTTTTTGCCCATAAATTTCCAAATTTATTGCTTTTTTTCTGTTCTTATTTTTTCTTTACAATATTATAACAAATTTTTTGCTTAAATTTTAATAGAAATTTAAAAAAAATATGTGCAAATTTGTATAGTAAATTACAATATACTATTATATAAATATACAGATAAATATTTACATGCATATGTATGATATATATACAATGTATATGATATATATGATATATATGCAACGAGCTCCTGTATATATAATGTGTATCCGAGTATATATTAATAGTGAATAGCTAAACTGTATATGGTTTTTGTTATAATTTTGTGATTTTAATTACTTAAAAGAAAAGACTATTTTGTTTAATACAAAAATAAAATTTATATATTAAGAATTTTTAGCAGAAATAATATGTTTATATACCGCTTAAATAATATTTTCAATAATTGTTACAGTAAATATCCGAAATAATGTTTATTAATTATGTATATGGGATTTTGAAGAGAAATGTGATAAATGGAATGTGTTTGACAATATCCGGTAGTTATTTTTATATAAAAGAAATTTAGTTTTTGAAAGATAATATAAAAAATTTTTAATAACCTTTAAACGACCTTAATGGCATAAGCAGCAGTTAAGAGACATCATTTTAAAATTTAATTAATAAATATTGCAATACATGTGTTAGTAATAAGGTCATTTTACTTGAAATATTAGTACACAATTCTTAGTGAAGCTTTAATTTTCGAAATATATGGCAATTTTGGAAAATGGTGAAAAAATATTATGTCAAAATATATTAGAAGAAATGTGTATATTTCGAAGCAATTTGTTATTTTACAAATTTCGTAAAATTTATTTTAAATAAAATTATACATTTATATGAATTTTGTACCTCATTTTTTTACCCCACCTATCATAAACATATATTGAATTAGAACTCGGATTTTAGGATTTTTTTGAACTTCTGAATTTTTTTATTTGTTTCCCATTTTCCACAGTATTGTTTTACGTCAGAAATTTGTATTCTTTAAAGAAAACTGTCTGAATAAAGCTACGTTTAACATTTAGGGGAAAGAAAATGTATACACAAATCTGTGAGTACATAGCTGGAGTGTACAACTAGACCTTTGTAATAACAAAAATTTGAATTTATATTTAAAATTTTATATACCTAGATTTAAAAAGTGGTATCTATTTTATCAAAATTTAAATATTTATGTACAAAATTTAAATATTGAAATGTGTATTCAAATATTTCGAGCATTTACTGTAACATATTTTAATATATTACACATATATAAATATTTTTTTTTATAAATATAATATTATAGTGATTGAAAAGTTATTGTTAAATCAGCTTCAGCGTTATCTTTATAATTTTAATGATTTGAAATTTGAAATATGTAAAGCAAAGTATGTATTTATCAAAGTATTTAAAATAATACTTTTGATATATATATACGAGTATATATAATATATAATAATGTACATAATAGCAATTAAAAATAAAAAACTGTATATACTGTTTGTATGTATATAAATAGATGATTTTTTTTTAGAAATATTTTTTTAAACGACCGCATTTTGTATTTGTAAATATATGGGTTATTCATTATTTTATAAAAGGGTTCCGATTTTACGGTAAATTTAACAAATCGATTTTGTAACAATTATAATTTTTTTTTTTGATATTTTGAATAATGCAAAGCAAATATTTTTAGATTTATTAATAAAAAGATGATGTAAAATTTATACAATTTTTTTTAAATAAAATAAAAGAATATTAAAATTTAATCGCCGAATGTATAAAGATCAAAGTCCGAATCCCAAATTGTTGACGTAACTAGTTGTTAATTTAATATAAATAAATAAATTATATTTTTTAAAATTAATTTTATTCGTGAAATTTGCTTATATACATAATTGCTCTCAATAAGACTGTTAACAGAATATTTAGAGCATATTTAATGTTATGCTCAAATTTTGTTGTGTCAATCAATGTTTCATTTCAACACAGAATACCGTTCCGTAGGAGTCATCTCTCTAGGAAATTGTGATATTTTGCTTGACATTTTCTTTATGTCTTCAAATTTAGTAATACAAAAAAAAAAACATTTACTTGGAATATTTATTTAAGATTTTTGGGTGGAAATTTAGGCAATTAATGATTTTTGGCAATATTAAGCAGAATAACAAAAATAATATATCTTTGTTCGCTGGACACAATTATTTATCGATTTTATGTATTATTAGAATAGTTTTCTTAATTAAATTGTGTACAATACTTCAAGGTTTCGCTCAAATTTTGGCAATTTTAATTAAGTATCATGATTTTTCATTAACATTTTCTAATTTTTTGCAGCTACTAGCAGAACTGGTAGGAATAAAATTTATTAATTTTATATTTCTTAATAAAAACTCAATTCTAATTCTTTTTAACGTTCTAGTATACCCAAAGAAAAAGAAATAGTTTAGATTTAGCAGAAGAGAGGTATTCAATGAAATTTAATTTTAAAAATACAATGCGGTCAGGTCAATTGTTATGGCTATTTTATGGCTACAATTATTTTTTTTTAAACATATTTTAGCATTAGAAAAATTATTTAGAATAGTTTTACCAATATATATATATATATACCACCCTGTTTTATATTCAAATATTTTTTTTATGAAAAATTAAAAATTTACATTGAAATTCCAATTATAGAATATAGAATAGGGTGGATGCCAAGTCAGCTGTAGTTTTTTTTTTTTGCAAAATAATATTTATTTTAGAAAAAAAAACATTTTATTTTTTTATTAATTAAAAAAAAAACATTAATAAAATAAATAAAATAATTAGAAAAATAAGTATATAAGATAAAAACTTAATTATAATTAAAAATTATTATTGAATTTTCTCCAAGGTCTAATTAACTCCACAAATAAACTAAAGGACAATTTTGAATCCTGATGAAATGGATTGCTATATAAATAAAAACAATTATTAAATACTAAATTAAAATAAATGAAATTTAAATACTAAAATAAAAAGTACAAAAACTACTTTTCATAAATATTTTATGTGACTTCGTCTATAAATATTGTATAACAATAATATTATTATATTTAAATAAATAATATTTTTAATATTTTATAATAAATTTTAAATTTAACAAATTGTTTATGACAAAAAGTGTATAATTATAAAAGAAAATATTGAACTGTGGTAATGTAAAACAAAAAATATTATTTTTTTTATATAAATATTAGAAATTATTAAAATAATTATAGTTGTAGCTGTTATACATTAATACAGTCTTTAAAAAAAAATGCTTTTTCATTTTTCAAAATTGGAAGAAAATTTAATGAAAAATTTTTTATTATCGTGAACAAATTTTTTTATCATCGCTTAATGTTAGTGTTTTGTATCATAAAATTCATTACAACAAACGTACTTAAACACACATACGTACTAGAAGAAATTTATAATTTGTCTCATTTTCTTTAATAAATTTCCTTCATTTTTATTTGTTTCACTATAGCCCAGTCCGTCAATTATTTTATTTTTATATAAATAATAGTATATCCTTGAATTATCCTTGAATAACATATAATCTTTTAGAAATAATCGTTCAAATTCTTTGATACATTTTAGAGTACATATAAATAGATTAAGAATTTTATATTCTCTCCGATTAAAAAATAGGTTTTCCAATATTATCTTGCAAATTCTAAATATTTCAATTAAATTTTCAAAATTCTCAAAAAGAATTATTTTCAGATAACAGTATAACAGTTTATAAAATCAAAGTCTTCTGATATATGTATAACAGTTTGATATAATCAAACTGTTATACATATAATTATTATAATTATATTAAATTTTAGAAATTAATTTAATTGTATGAAAAAACGATTTTTGATTCACAAAATTACTGAATTTAATTATACAAGCATGTAAATTATTAAATTACGGAGAACAACAGAATATTAGTTCTCGATTTAAAAAATTTCATTTTTCTCTCTGTAATACAGAATGTTAATATTTTCATTACTCTGTCAAATTTATACATTTTGAAAATATCGGAAAAACACAACCAATTTCCTTTTTATTGACTCATTCTGGGATTTTATATTAGTTAATACTCTAACTCCCTTACCCTTTCTTTGGAAAATGTCGAAAAAAACGACCAATTTTCCTTTTATTGATTAATTTTGGGATTTTACATTAGTCAATATTCTTACTGGGAAGTCTCTTACCCTTTATCTCATATATTTTCTAATAATTATGCATAGCATCATATTTTCTTTCCTTCAAACTTTTTCTGTTTCCCTCTCTCTCTCACTACCTTTGATTTCATAGCAAAAAATATGTGAAATGAGGTGAAAAAGTTATCAATATACTAATAAATAGGCTAATTTGCACTTTTGAATCCGCTAAAAGAGTGAAACTTCAATGCATATCCTCCTTTCTTTAAAATTTACACTATATTCTCTCGTTGGGAGAGAAAATTATTTCTTAAAAATTATTTATAAAATAAATTTTAAGAAATTTCAATATTTCTTTAAGACTCTATTGCATACTTATGTCCTTACATATAAATTAATGGGTATATTATGTGATAATCATTATTCTTTGTAATTTTTTCAAGTACAAAATTTCGCATACATTGGCAATGCTACATACATACAATACTAAAATAATATTTCACAATTGTAAATAATATTCATTTAGTATTCATATATTTAATCAGTTATATATCAAAATATTTAATTAAATTAATATAATTAATTAAATAAATAAAACAAATAAAACTAAATATAAATAAATAAAAATTTTAATTTTTAATTTTTATTTTAAAATTTTTTTAACTTTACAAATTCAAACAAACATTATACAACTGTTATATGAACAAAAATTACGGAAAATCGAACTACATTTTTGGACAACCACTGTATATACATACTTTTATAAAATCGTACACTCTGCCAGACATATTGTATAACAAAAATTAAATATGTAATTATATTAAGTGCATAATATTTACATAAAGAAAACAAAGGAGGTTCCTATTATATTGTATAAGAATAAAATAAGAAAAATATATTTATTTACCTGCATAATTTTAACAAAGTGTATATATTTTAAGTATAATGCAACATGACATACACATATACTTATGTACAATTGCATTCTTATATAGATATTTTCAATTAATATAATTACAATAGTACGTACACAATATACTCGTAATATATATAGGTAAGCTAATTAAGAATGGTATGTTTTCAGATTTAGTTCAGTTCCAATCCCCTGCCCTCACCAATTTATATAGAAACTATAGTTGATGAAAAAATTAAAAACAATTCTGCAAAATATGTAAAATTATAATTTTTTAGCACATTTCCAACGATATTGAAAAAAGAAGGTGTGTCTTCTTAGTTCCATGATGTGTGTTTGGTTGTCCGTTTTTTAAAAAAAAAATTATAAATTTTTAGAGATAGAAAACTGAAGTTTTATATATGGAAAAGTATCTTATTGAGAAACTTATATTTCTAGCTAGAAGAAAGTTTTTACTTAATTGTTCTTTTGAAAATTGTGGCCATTAAAATCCTAAAAATGACATTTATTAACAATTTTTGCTGTCGAAACCATAAAGAATTTTAAAATTTGCTTTTTAAGATACTTGTTTTTTCAACTATGCAAAATAGCATACACTTGACAAAACAAGTTCAAATTAATAGCTCTTTAATCTTATTAATTAGTTTTTTTTTTTGCTTTTAAATTTTTAATATTGCTGTTGTCTTAGACAGCAAACTGAAAAATTCTGAAATTATTACAGCTTCTAGACATTAATAAAATTATAAGATTTTTCTATATTGTTCTCTCGCGAGTTGTAGTTGTTGAAAATTAGCAGGACTTCAGTTTTCGGCAGTTCATTTCCTTGAAACTATAATAATTTTGTCAAAACTTTTCAGAAACAAATAAGTAACGGTAAATGTTTTCTAATTAAAAAATATAAGTTAATATCGTAAATAATCGTAATTTGTCCTTAATTTTAGTTCTTTTTATTTTCTTCTCATCCTAAATGTATGCAAATTTTTGTTGACATTTTAATATGATACCAATCAAGAGAACAATGAAAATAGCTACCCTGTATGCATATAGCTTTCCTTAAAATATAATGAGGTTACCATTGGAAATGTGCTATTTTTCAAAACAATAGTTTTTTTTTTTAAATTAACTATTCTATATATAAATATATAATAATTGAATAAAATTGATAATATCACGGAAGTAATTTGCTATTCTTAAAACAATACTCTATGTAAACAAATAAATTTTGTATGTATATATATTTTTCAAGAAAACAATTAATAATTCTTCCCCATTTTTTTTTTTTTAACCTCCAAGAATTTTTTCAAAACTGAAATTATTACAAAATTTTCCCTTATAATAATGTCATTTCGAAAATATGCGAGTTGCATGAATATATAACATAAATACATATTACTAGCATAACAGTAAATGGGCATTAATTAATCCATTCTATTATACGTACAATTATAAAAGAAAATCAATAAAGAAACCATTATATCATTATATATATATAGATTAATTAAAGGAATTTTTATAAAAGCAAAACTAAAATAGAATTTTGTCATCTTTAAGATAATAGTATAAATAAATAGAAGAATCCATAGAAATTCAACCCTAAATATAAATTACAGACTAATAAAAATGTATTAGTAGTAATTCATAGAAAATGAGGATAAGGAAAATAAATAATTAGATTTGAAATGAAGAATAAAAATTAAGATGGAAAATAATTTTCAATGACTTTATTATTTAGTTTTTTTTTGCGAAAAATTTTTGAAAGGAAAAATTTGAAGATTTTAGAAATGAAACAGAAAAATTAGTGGAACAGCTTATTTCGACATTATCACGAGGCATAGCTATTATAAAAAATATTTAGTGACGTTTCAGTTCAGATTCTTAATATGTCCAGTGTTATGGTAAACCACTTGATGAGCTTAAGCGGAAATGGCTTGGCAGTAATTGCGTTATAATTGTTGCAGACATTTTTATTCGAATTTCAATGATAACTTAGTATTATTATATTTTATGAGCGAGGATATATGTGCTCTGTAAGTGTCCTTGCCTTATGTGGAAAAGAGGGATTTATCTAAAGGAGAGTTCTTGTTTGAGGATCTAATAATCGCTGGCTTCTGTGAGATATCTGTTATGCGTGTTATAGAGGATTGACGATGGGTTTCTTTATGGTCTTGTATTGAAAGTTAGTATAGGGCTAAATATTACCTTTATATTATCTGAATTCTTATTCTTTCAAAGTCTTTGCTGGGACTTTTTTTAATTTTATCATCGATTTTGTACTTAAATATTTCGTAGGTGCATTGATACCATGTTATACCTATAATTTTATGATCTTTTAAATTAAGTTATAAACTTAAATTTCCCTACAAAATTTCACGTGTTATATAAGGCAGTATATAAAAATTACAAACTTTTGAGAGGAAAATGCAAAAGAAAAAGTGATAAAGAAAATTCATGTTACTAACGAAGTACTATAAACTTTTCGACATCTTGAATGAAAGTATAATCACACATTTTTTGATAAAAAAAAATTTGATATTCAAGTTTATGCTTACAAATTATAAAAATATTCTAAGTTTGTTCAACAGTCTAGTATGTCTTTAATAAATGCTGCATAAAAACCACTTTTCTAGATTGTATGAAGATCCTATTTATGTTTAGTCTTAATTATAAATAGGATCAAAGTTTAACTAAAATTTTTAAGTAATAAAAAAATTAAAAGATTTAATTATGAGAAAAGAAAGAATAAAATTTGATTATGCCTACATTCATTTATGAACAAAATTACTTTACCTAAAATTGCATACTTTTAGGAGAAGGTTAATATCAAGTTAAGGCTAATATCAATATTTTGTAGGAGAAGTACAAGAAGACCATTAGGATAACAAAAAAAAAAAAACACATTTTTATTAAAATAATTATAAAAAATTAAAAATATAGTTACATACATATAAGCTTTAGTGTTTTAGGATTTTATTGAAAAAATTTAAAATAATTGGTTTTATAATTAAAAATGAAATAATAATAAAAAAAAAATGTAAAAATAGCTATAATTGGCAAACATAAAAGCATGTACAAAATACAAAATAAAAATTTTAAATTTA